TCCATGTACAATTTGCTAATCAATCTTCTTTCATGCCAATCGATACCTGTTTCTTTCAGGATCTGCATTAATTTGGTCCAGTTTACCCGGTCAAATGCCTTCTGCCAGTCTATGAAGCAAACACACAGTTCTTCATCTATCTCCAAAGTTCGTTCCACTATAATTCTCATCATCCCAATTGCATCCCTGGTTCCTTTTCCTCTTCTAGTTCATATATCTGACTATAAATTCGAGTAGTATTTTATTTTAACTAATGCATATGTAAGTACAAGCAGTTCTATCACATTCTATCTTTTGACTCCATCTGCAAAAATTATTTACCTATATGAAATTCTGTTCATAGAATATAATACAATTTAATATTGGACATACATGTTAACTATAAATTTATACACAGCATTTTGGGCATAGAATAATAGAAGGTTTTTCATCTTTTATTAATGACATTCCTTGTCGTTCTGGAAAATATTAAAAATTCATTTGTATAAAATTTACATGATATGTTATGTACTTGATTGCAGGTCGATTTACTCCACCACATCGACCAATAATCAGACCCAGATATGTATGGTGAGCTGCTGAAAATATGCTAAATATTGATGCAATTTAATATGAAATTTGGATCTTAAGTTGGAATGTTTAAACATTCTTGTAAAATTCAACACACCAGCTAGTTTTTTCGTGTACTTTACACCAGATGCATATATTTATTTTTGTCAGTTTTATGTTTATCATTTGTGGATGTCATATTACAACATAAAATGGCAGTTAAACAAAGTAATACTTGTATGCCACATATTCAAATAATATCCTGACCATTTTCAAATGTTAAGTGTTACAGCCAAAAGAAGTGGGGCATATTTTATTTCCATCACTGATTATTTTATATGCCTTTTGACATAACACAATATGGTAAAATTGTACAGTACTGTACATAAGGTTCACATATTATAAACATTCACCATTCTTGTTGTCCACACTAGACACTGCAGTTTAACATGGTTCAACACGTCGTAAAAAGGGATTTAATTTAAGTTGGAACTGAATCATAGAAGAAAAACAATGAATAAAAAAAAACTCTTAAAAAACAATAGAAGAAATATATCAGAACTTTGAAAGCTGTGTTTATATTTGTCTGTATGAAAGAATTTAAACCATGACAGAATCTTTACATAAAAATGAAAACAATTATAAAATTTTGGGTAGGCTAAAAAGAACAATGTGCGGTGTAACCTGTATATGCAACTATACTGACAAACACTGATAACAGAAAAAGAGGGACAAACTGATCTGCTGTAGAAAACTGTTGGTTATATGTCATTGTGAGTTAAGGATATTTCAATAAACGAGTATTGTCACTTGTTTAATGATTAAATACAGGGTTTGGATTGGTAATTTGATTTACTGAGCTCTTACAAACTGTAGTTATAATTAATTATAGCCTTATCTCTAATTCACTACAGCATACACTAACTCTTCTCAGTTTGTTGTGTGTTCACTGGCCCTGTGTTGTGTGTTAACATCTTCTTAGCCTCTGCCCAATTTCACACACTGAACGTTGATAGTCTAACCATCGAGGCAGAAACAACGCCTACCGGCTGATTTATGATGATGATGATGATGACAATGACGACGACAATAATAATAATAATAATAATAATAATAATAATAATAATAGAGGTAAATGTATCTTTGTGCTTAACTAATTAAGCACTACG